CACCGGGTAAGTGTGGCCCCAGCCCCGTGCCAGCGTCCCCATCCCCATCCCATCCCGGTGTCCTTACGCCACCGAGTGCCCCGCAGCATCCCCACAGCTCTCCTGCCCTGACGTCTGTCCAGTTCCTTGTGGGGTTCCTGCTCTGCTCTGCCCCATCCCTGCGGCCACTTGGTGTCCCCATCCTGTCCTGTGTCACTTTGCCATCCTGGTGTCCTCCCCATGCCATCCTGGCTCGATGTCCCCGTGCCATCCCATCCAGGTGTCCCCGTGCCACCCCACGGTGACATCCCTGTGCCAATCCACCCTGCTGTCCCCATACCATCCCAGCCACCTGTCCCCGTGCCACCCCCTCCTGTCCCACCCCGTTGTCCCCGTGCAGCCCCGCGCCACCCCTCTCCACCACCCCCATTCCCCAACTCCCTCCCCGCGGCCCCCTCCTCTTTCCCCATCCCACCCCCCCGCTGACGTCCCCGCCGTCCCCGCAGTGCCCCAAGCTGGCCATGGGCCGGCACCTGGAGGAGAGCACCAAGGCTCACCTGGGCATGGTGTGCGCCCTGGTGAGCCGGCAGCGCCAGGAGATCCTGGAGCTGCGGCGCGACGTGGAGGAGCTGTCGGTGAGCAGCGACGGGATCCTCATCTGGAAGATCGCCGACTACGCCCGCAAGCTGCAGGAGGCCAAAGCCCGCAGCAACTACGAGTTCTTCAGCCCCCCCTTCTACACCCACAAGTACGGCTACAAGCTGCAGGTCTCGGCGTTCCTCAACGGCAACGGCAGCGGCGAGAGCAGCCACCTCTCCGTCTACATCCGCGTGCTGCCGGGCGAGTACGACAACCTGCTGGAGTGGCCCTTCTCCTACCGCGTCACCTTCTCCCTGCTGGACCAGAGCGACCCCTCGCTCTCCAAGCCCCAGCACATCACCGAGACCTTCCACCCCGACCCCAACTGGAAAAACTTCCAGAAGCCGGGGAGCACGCGCGGCTCCCTGGACGAGAGCACCCTGGGTTTCGGCTACCCCAAATTCATCTCCCACGAGGACATCAAGAAGCGCAACTACGTGCGGGACAACGCCATCTTCATCAAGGCCTCGGTGGAGATCCCCCAAAAAATCCTCGCCTGAGCCCCGCATTCAGAGGGGGGGGGACACAGGGGGCCATGAGCTGCACGCCCAGCCCGGGCTGACCCCCATGGTGCTGAGCCCCCCGCCCCGGCGCTGGGGACCCCGCGGTGGCCGCGCCGGTGGCTCTCAGGGAGGCGGTGGGGGGGCTGCTCCCGTGCCCCCCGCTGGGGCTGGGACCCCGCCGTGCTCGGTGCTCAACCCCTTCTCAGGTGCCCGGGGGGTGCCGGGGGGCTGGGCCCCCCCCAATTTCCTCGCTGGGGTGCCCGGTGGCCCCCACCAGCCTTGCTGGGGACCCAGCTTGGGTCCCCGCTGCCCAGAGCCATATTTTGTAAGCCGGTGCCCCCCCCGGGAGCACGTTTGTTATTTATTACCCTGGGCCGGGGCCCGATGCCCCCTTCCCTGCCTCTTTTATTTGTTTTTTGTTTTTTTTTTCAATAAACTGTTCTTGTATTTATTAGGGCTGCCTGGAGCTCCTTCCTGCCCCCCCCCTCCCCGTGGCTGGGTGCCACGTCCTGGGACAGCACCGGGGGGGGGGCTCCACGTCCCCGTTGCCTCCCCACAGAGGGGCCGGGGGGCACGGCGTGGGTAATCCCTGACCCACATCCCTGCGGCAGACGGGCTCGGGTGCAGACGGTTAATTCGGTAATCACCGGTTTGGGGGGGGCACCGGGCCACCCCTATTATCCTGCAGCCCCCCTCCGATGTCCCCCCCCAGCTCTTCGTTAGCTCAGGGGCAATCAGGGCTCCAGGGGAGGCAATAATTTGGGGCAGACGGGGGGCGGTGGGTGGCCATGGGGGTGTTGGGGTGGTTTGGGGGGCTCGGCTGGATCAGACCCCATGGGGACCCCCCCAGTCATCCCAGTATGATGGGGGGGGCACTGCCCCCAGTCCGATCCCACAGCTGTGTTCATGCTGCCCCACTGGACGTGGTGCCCCCCAAACTGATCCCAGCTGGGCTGGGGGGCACACAGGGCAGCTCCTCCTGCCCTGGCCCTCCCTGGCTGTCCCAGTGCCACACTGGTGCCCAGTGCCAGCTTTACTGGTGCCCAGTGGCCACTCACACTGGTGCCCAGTGCCAGCTGTACCGGTGCCAAAAGCCAGCATTGTACTGGTCGATGCCAGCGGTGCTCAGTCTCAGTTCCCATTGGTGCCCAGTGCCATCCCATACTGGTGCCCAGTAACAGCCTTTACTGGTACCTGATGTAATCCCATAGTGGTGCCCAGTAACAACCCATACTGGTGCCTGCTGCTGTCCCTTGCTGGTGCCTGGTATATTCCTGTACTGGTGTCATCCCATACTGGTGCCCAGTATCAACCCATACGGGTGCCCCACCAGTCCCATACTGGTGCCCAGTATCAGCCCGTACTGGTGCCCAGTATCAGCCCGTATTGGTGCCCCACCAGTGCCTTACTGGTGCCCAGTATCAGCCCGTACTGGTGCCCCCCGGTCCCTCCGGTGCTCGCTGCCGCCGCCGCGCGGTGCCGGGGCTCGGGGCCGGGGCTCGGGGCCGGGGCTGGGGCCCCCCCTCCCGGCCGGCCGCGTTCCCTTCCCGGCGGCTCCTCCCGGAGCCGGGGCCGGGCACAAGCCGGGTTTTTCCCTGCAGAGCCCAAACCCGAATTTCTCTTTATTTTTTTGGGGGGGCTCTCGCTTTGGAGAGCGCACAGGGCGCCAGCACCAAAGCACGGAGCCGGGCTGCCCCCCCCCCCCCCCCCCCCCCCCCCACGCAGCCTTTTGCTGAGCCTTGCACCAAAAAAAACAGCCAACAACCCATGGAATTATGAAAAAGGATTGATAAAATGAGCTGAAAACTGCAGGTCTCACCCCAAAAGGCCAGCAGCTGCGGATCCATGTTGCTGTTGTGCGGCGCGATGCCCAAAAACTGGTGGCACCCACCCCAAAAATAACCACAACCCCAAGCTGCCTTTTCCCCATTTTCACCCCCCATTTTTTTTTTTTTTTTTTTCCCCTCTCTCCCTTTTCAATCTCTGGTGTGAAATTTGCCCTCCGCACAGCTTCATCCCGTACCCGCTCCCCTTCACCTCTCCCCTTCCACGTCCCTGCGGGATCCGTTCGGAGCCGGGGAGGGCAAATCCCCGGCAAAAACTGGGCTGAGCAGCAGGAGATGCTCTTAGAATTCACGGGGGGGGGGAGGGAGACGAATCGATGCGCTGCTAAAATTAGATTCAAGCAGAAAGTTTAAAAATAAACTTCCTGGAAAGTTGTGGGAAATTCAGTGCAAAGGACCCTAAAATGTATCGGGGGCTCCCAGCCCCGCTGTGCCCCCGGCTTGGGGACACACCTTCAGCCGAGCTGTCTGACCCAGGCATTAATATTTCATTAAGGTAAAATAAAAAAAAAAAAACACACAAAGACAAAAGTGTTTTTTGCGTCCTTTATTAAAAACCTGCCCGGGCTCGGCCGCCTCCCCCAGCCCTTCCCAGGTCTGCGGGGTTTGAGCACCAGGACATGAAGGGAGAGGGTTTACGGGGTGGGCAGTGAAACCCCCGCTGTGATTTCAGCTCTTCGGTTTTAACACATCTCCCAGGACTGAACCCACGGCTTGTACCCAATTGCCTCGAAATTAGCTTAAACTAATTAGATAAAACACTCCGGGAATTTTATTACAATTTGGCTGTGAGGCTGGATGGCAAATCTGGGGCCAAAAACGAAGAATTAAATTGGTTTTGTGGCATGGGCCAGGCTGGAGCAGTGTGGAGGCACCGGGCAGGAGCCACCCCCTGCCCTCACGCCATCCCCAAGCCCCCTCCCTTCAGCTGGGGGGAAATCTGGGGACACAGCGTGGCATTTGAAGATTATGGGTGAATTTAAGTTTAATGCTGTCCCGTCCCCAGCCTGGTGTTTTATTTGCTACAGCTTCCCGTGTGCTGATTTTCTACACCTCTCCTAGCGCATCGCCTACCTTGGACCCAATTTAATTTTGGCAACGTGAGCCCAGCACAGGAGGAAAAGACCAAACAGAGCAGCTGAACCATCAAAAAAAAAAACCCCCAAAAAACAAAAAAAAAACACACTCGACCTAAAGGAGAAGTTTCTGAGGGCTGAGCCCACGCTACCTCCCCCCAGAGGTTGGGTTCCCCACGCTGATGCCAGGGGATGGAAGAGGCTTTGGAAGAGGAGACTGATGGAGACAGCAGACACCGAAGTGTGGTTCTGGCAACCCCAGGAAAAACGTTTGTTTGTCGTCAGAGAAAATTTAGACGCCGGTGTCTTTCGAGCAAGTGCAGAGAGGGTTGGAAAAAAATCAGTTGTGTTTTTCTCTCTTCTTGCAGAAAAAAAAAATCTTTAAAAAATCTTAGTTTTACGCTGAGAACCCAAACTGGGAATTTATTGCACACGCTGTTGGTGTCAAGGCTTCAGAGGGCATCGCTGGGAGCAGCCCCCCCATACCCCGAGCCCTTCTCCCCCCCACCCCATACACGCAGGGCGAGGGACGGACCCGACCTCCGAATTTGTCCCACCCGGGCAGGACGTCAGCCTCCTCGCCCCCCCGGCTCTGTGAGCAATTCCTTCAGCACCTCCCTGCCTCTGAGCATCGCCTCTGTTCCTCCAGCCCCCCCTCTGTGCTCTTAGGGGAGAAGAGCAGCCAGGTCGCACCCCCCGCACCCCGAGCCCCCTCCCCAAATTCCTTTAGGACGTGCCCAACCCCAGCCAGCAGCAGGCACCCGCTGGGTATTTGGGTATTTCCGTACCCCCCCACGGTACTCGCCCTGCACACAAACAGCACAAGGGGCAGAGGGACCAGGGCTCTCTTTCTCTCTCTCTGCTTTTTGTTTTTTTCTGCTTTACTTTTTTTTATTTTTCCTGCAGACAAAAGAAAAAAAAGATCTAGTTCATACCCGTAGCACATAAGAAGCAGCGTATAGAATCAGTATGTGGTTTAATCAAATACAGCAGCAATTCCCCGTTGTCTCCACCGTGAGCCCCAGCAAACATTTCTGTTTGGTTTCTACGGGAGTGGCCGAGTCCCACGGAGACGTCTTTCACAGCGTAAGCTTAAAGAAAGGAAATTCACAAGTGTCTTTTTTATAAAACGGTAACTTTGGGCTGTAACAAACTGGGCTTGAGATTTAACAGCTTCAAAGCTTCTGCTCAAAAGAAAAGACACGGAGATGGAAGCTTCCTCCTGGGAGGTTTTACACCACTTTCCTGTTGAACCCTTCCCGAAGCTATTTCATGCCAACCTCCGGCTGGCAAGGGTGGTGCCAGAAACCACCAGGATAACGAGATTCTGCTAAACCAGTGTGATACGGGACAGGGGACAGGGGTTGGTGCTGACAACACAGCATAAATAATTCCAAAAAAAACCACCTGCAAAGACCCTGCTCCTTGCTCGAAGAGCAGAATTGCCACCTGCGGGTACCCAGGCTCCGCGCACGAGCGTGGAACCAAAAATCTGGTAGCTCGCATTTCCTGTGCTGGAGGTCATGAAACAATTAAGCTAAGAAAAAAAAAAAAGGCAAAAAGGCAAGAAGGGAAGGATCTGAGCTGGGAGCAGTGCTGTGAACTCCTGGAAGGGAGCTGAGGGGTGCTGGTCCCTGCGCCGCTGCTGCCACCGCGTTGGGCACCGCGCGTGGCACCAGCCTCCGGGCTGTCCTCCAGCAAGGGAAGGACCCACAGAGCGTGAAATAAATGGCACAGAAACAGCTCCTACCGCACTGCTGGGGCCACTGGTCCTCGGGATTAAGCCTCACCCGCTCCTCCCCGGGCAGTGGTGCCCCACAGGGCTGCTCTGCAGGCTGAGGCTGGGGTCCCTGCGCCTGGGAAGGAGGCAGGGTGGTGGCTGTCTCTCTGCAGATCTGATGGGGAAGGAGAAAGGAGAAGCTGTCAGCTGCCGTTCAAAAAAGCCCTCGCTCCTAGAACAACAAAAAGGAAGCGTTTTTGCATGTTTGACTCGGAAAGCGAGGGCTGTTTTTTCAAGCAGGCACCTGGCACCGTCCCGCCTGGATGAGGTTTGGGAATATTTTTGCTCGGGAATGGTTTTTGCTTTTTTTGCTTCCCGGTCCTGCGGTGCCAGGGCAAAGTCTCGGGGGTCGTGGCTCTCTGCAGAGCAAATCACAGCGGCTCCCAGGGCACATCCAGCGCTAGCAGCCACAGCAAAACCACGTTGGCAAAGACCACGACAACGGGGCTCTGCTCAGGGCTCTCTCTTAGGAGAAGAGCAGGAAAAGGGAAAAAAAAAAAAAGCTTTAAATAAGAGTCTGGGGTGAGATTTGCAGCAGGCTAACGAAGAGAGGAGATGGCAATATTTTATTTAGTAAAAAGGTAGGTATGCAGGTAGCCAACACCTTACAGGAACTAACTTAGCAGGAAAGGTTAAAGTCATAGCACAGCCCTAGATCGATGTGGGGACAGGGGAGACGACAGGGAGGCTGTAAGGGAAGCAGCTTCAGACTCGAACCTTGGCTTCCAATATAATGTATTCAGAAAAATATTGCATGAAAAGCCTCAGGGTTTTCGTTCTTTCATAGATGTATATTTACCAGTTTTCACAAAGACTGCAGGAATACGATTATAAACAATAAATTAGGACTTCATGTTGCTATCATTTGGCATAACACAATCAGGCAATTTTTCCTTTTTAAATATAAGGCAACACAAGCCAACACATAATTTAATCCGTCTTTAGTCAAATTGCTTAACTTTGCTAAAGAGTTATCACTAAAGACCGGCTCAGAGTACACTTAAAGGAATTTAAATAATGACATAAGTGTACTACCTTACGCAAGGAGTCAGAAAACGTACTCTGCTAAGCTTTGAAACCTAAATATTTGTTACAGCCCAGGACTACACATCTAAATTAAAAAAATACAAATAAATGTTTTCTAATTTTTCCATTTACGAAAAAACTTTTAAGAATCTCTAGCCAACTATGACGTCACTTCAAAACTTGTAAGGTTTTTTTTTTTTGTGTGTTTTTTTTTTTCTTTTTTTTTTTTTTTGAGTTTTCGTATGATGTCTTAAGATTTTAAACCATGCTCGTTAAGGAAAGTTCAAGGAGCAAATACTTAAGGCTTTGTTTTTCAAAGGGCTGTGAGGGAGGCCAGTGGATGGCAGAGGCCAGTGGGTTCACCCATACACAATGCTACTCAAACCCACACTACCAGGCGACATTCATACAGAAATATTACACTTAAAAGTTACAGTGTAGAGCAATAGGTTTTTTTTCTTTTTCTTTTTTTTTAGCCAGTGTACATATAAAGAATCAATGCATTTATTTGTTGTATTTTTTTTTTTTTGTATTTTTTTTTTTTTTTAATTTCCAAACTTGATTGTGATCATTATGTTCAAGTATTAGCCTCGTTGACAGAGATGAGGAATTTTCTACTTACAACAAATTCGGCTCTCGGAAAGGAAAGGTTTCAAGACATGGAAGAGAACAAGACGCTGAGGTTACCACCACTTAGTGTCCTACCGGTCACTGACTCGACTAGCTGCTGCGAGTGACTTGGGGAAGGAACAGAAGGAGTTAGGCACCGAGACTCCGGGAAGAAGAATATTGGTAGGTTATTAACAGCTCCGCTAATTCCCAGAGAGGAGGGGCGGTCCAGTAAATCAGCTGGGGCGTTTTTGCTGGAGGATACGGGACTCTAAAGCCCCCCCCCGGGTGTCTCGTGGCCGGAGCTTCGCTTCAGATCCACCGCCTCCCGCTCCACCAGAACCGCTGCTGGAATGTGAGAGCATTGAGAACGTGGCCCCGCGGCCCCGGAGATGAGCTGGAGTTAGGTCTCCTCAGCCCTGAAATTCATCCTAGCTACAGGAGGAAAGAGGCTGAACCCTTTTTTGGAGTTGTCAGTGGGTCTGGATTCCCGGCCCTTCGCCTGGGGACGGCCAGACTCCTAGCAGCGAGGGGTTCAGACGACGTTAGCTGGCCAAAGAGGAGCGGGGAAGGGAAATGGGATGCAGAAAAAGGCAGCTACCGACGGCAGCCAGGCTGCCTGGGCCCTAAAACCGCCAATCCCCCTCTCCCCACACCCTGTCTGTAAAAAAAAAACAACAAAAGTGTCGGAAAAAAATAATAAATCTGTTGGAGACTTTTGACTTTGGACAAAGTCTAAACGATAAACGGCTGGAAAGCTTCTTCCTATGTTAATGCCTCAATACGTACCCCTAGCTAGCTCTTTGCAAACGTCGGCTTCTTTTTCAATTAAATAGGCCTCTAGACAGTGCAAATGGTCAATGTTTAATGCATTAATGAAATGGGCTTTCGAGCTGAAAATAAGCCCTGCTTCCTGACAAATTCTGTTGCTCTTAATCTTCAGAGGAAATGGAGATGGAAATGTAAGCGGCTACACTACCTGGCTCTTCGAGGAGCTGGCGAACAGATGCAACTGCGAAACCCTGCAGCAACTCAACATCAGTCCAGCACGCAGTTACTAAGCAGAAGGCAAAAGCAGCACAAGGGGATTCTGCGGTGAGGAAACAGCTGTGGCGTGGAGTAGTGTAATGAAATCCTTTGAAACAAAAGGCATGTTAAATATTTGATGCATAAAGGAGAGAGAGATAACACGTAGGCAAAGCTTTTCAATATACAGTATGTCTTCTTCCAACGGTTACTATAATGATCACACAAGTTTGCAAGTTAAAAACGCCTTGCTTATTAATTAAAATTAAGACTAAACCTCTAATTTCTGTCTGTGAAAGTGACTGCAGCCTATCTATACCCTGGGTGTTGAATATGAAGATTTCGACTATCGGTTGGTTCAGGTGCTCGGTTGATGGGGGGCCGATGGACTTTTCCCAGCACGGCCATGCTCTGATCTCTGAAGCAAGCCTGCTGGAAGTCCCCGCTTAGGTAATCCATGGTCTGCATCACATTATTCTGGCTGGATGGACCAGCTCCAGCTCTGTAATGAGTTCCCCCCGCGCAATCCAGCGGCGCTCCTGCCGGCTGGCCCCCGTGGAAAGGCATGGCGAGGTCCTGGGACCCGGAGCTGTCGCTGTTGGGGGTGGGCAGGATGTTATTCCACATGGGCTGGAAATAGTGCCCGTTGGTGTACGGCAAGGGTCCCTGCAAGCCGTTCACCGGCGGAGAGGGGGTGGGCTTCTCGAGGGGGGGCTTCAAGCCGAACGACTGGCCCATGCACAGTTCTTGGGGGTAGCCGGCCGTCTTGCCGGGGAAGCTCTGCCCTGCCATCTCTCTCTGAGGGTGCTTCCCCGCGAGCCCGGCGGGCCCAGCAGCGTCCCCGCACATTTGCTGCAGGTGTGCAAGCTGGTGCTGGTTCCAGGCGACCGGTTTGATTTCGTTCGGGTAGGCGGGCGGCACCCTGTTCATATTCACCATGGGCACGTTAACGGAGGCAGAAGGAATAGCAGCAGCAGCATGGTCCGCAGGGTTTACTCCACAGGAAGGCATGGGCGTGGGGACGTTGTGAGTAGATACCCTGGTACTTGCATTGATAAGCAGGTTGCGACTTATGGGGCTGGGGTTGGCGATCTGTCCCTCACAGACTGAGGTAGTGCTAATGCCAGCTCTGGCCTGGCAGAACTGGTTGATCTGATGCACGATGCTGCTCAGGTCCGGTGGCTGGTTCTGCTGCAGGGTGGCAGCCATAGAGAGGGGAATGGTTGAGGTAGACACGGTCACATTCGGCGGCGCGTCTGCATCCGGCATCTTTCTGCTTCCATGTAAACCCGGCTGCAGCAAAGGGGCGGGGGGGTGCTGCAGAGTCTGGTGCGCCATGGGCTGAGGATGCTGCAAGCCCTGCGGCTGCTGCATATTCTGAGGGTGCGGCAGCGCCTGCGGGATCCCCTGAGGGTGAGCTAAGCTTTGTGGCTGTGGTATCCCCTGAGGGTGCTGCAAAGTCTGCGGCTGCGGGATGCTCTGGGGGTGCGGCAAAGTCTGTGCATGCTGGAGAGCCTGCTGGCGAGCAAGCGCCTGGGGGTGGGTTAAAGTGCTCGGTGCAACGTAGGGGGTGGAAGGGGGATTCATCATCGCTTCCGGCAGCAGGCGTGTGCGTGTCCCGTCAAAGTCCTTGAGAATTCCTTTCGCTGGAGATTTGACTATGGCCAGGAGGCCCGTTTTCGTGGTGGCCTGAGACGGGTAAGGACTGTACCTCTGGCCCGAAGTATCAAGTCCGTTCACAGTACGGCGAATGTGTTTCCTCTGGGGAACCTTGACGCTGTTGGGGAAAATCTTTATAGTCAGTGGGTTGTTGGCGACCTTCTTAGCATAAGCATCCAATTCTGCTGGGGTAGGATACTGTGCAGATCTCATTTTCTGTGTAGTGTCCCCTGCGGAGAAAGGAAATTCATCAATGCTGACTCTGGCAAGCCAGGGACCAACCCCAGGACACGACAACCACGCGGCGAGGGGAGGAAATCTCCAGGGAACCGAGAGGCACAGCTTCACCTCCCCACACCAGCAGATCATCCACCACATCCCTCGTTCCCTTTATTACCTGGAGACCAACAGCACCCCCAGTTCAACTTCAGGATAAAACTGCCCAGAGGAGCCAAACCAAACCCGTGTTTTGCTCAGAGCACGTTTACAGCTGGACAAAACCAGGTAACGTGCTCTCAGCACTGCAGCCTGCAGTATTTATTGTGGCTGGTGGTGGTGGGCCAGCCTTTCAGTCTCTTAATTTAAGGCTGCCTCCCCGTGACCCTTCGAGCCATTTGCAAAATCTTTAGCGTGTGATTCAGAAATCAGAAAGTTATGAATTAAACATGACACTCGCGTAACGCCGAGGTGGGAGCCTTACAGAGCACTTCGGCTCAAGCCTCCACTTAAATCTGAGCTCTCTTCTAGATGCTGCCATCTGAAAGCACTCTGAGTGTCTTTTTGTCCATTAGGAAGTCCTCGTCAGTCCAAGTTCAGCAAATGGAAGGAGGCTCCACGCACGTTATTTTACGGCTGGCAATTATTTCTTCGGCTGAATTTTCAGCCTGGCACCTTGCTAGGGACAGCAGCCCGCTATCAAACAGCAGAATTGTGCGATTACCTCACAAGATTAAAACCGTGCTGCTCCGCAGACACAGACAAAAGACTTCTGGAGGCAGAGGTGTGGTTTCACGTAGGCTGATTTGCGGATACCTACCTTGCCTACCAGCTTGAAGTGCTTTTGGAAAGAACTTCAGAAATCTGGGGAAGTGCTTGTGCCTCCCGTTGCAAGCTCACTCCAAGCAGAGACTTGGGCCCTTTCCCTACCACGAGACTCCTACTTCAGGAATCATTTTGTAATCTTCAAATAATGGCTCGCAGCTTTTACAATCCCACTTTGCTTTTGCCTTTTTTCCCCCCCCCCCCACCTTGCAAACAGGACAAAACGCCCATCCTTTTTGCTCCACTTCTCAGCATCCCCGTGGCTGAAAGGAGGTGAAGCACAGGAGCCAGCTCCTCCAGAGCCCAAGAGCATCCCAGCCCTGCATCTGGCTCTCTGAGCCGCGGAAATCGGAGTGCTTGATGCTCTCAGGCGAGCAGCCTTTCCTTTTGAAAATCCATCTCTGATTCTTCTGAGCAAATTGCCTCCAAAAGGCTCCCGAATGCAGCTGAAGCCCGAGGAGCAGCCGGCTCGCTCTCGCTGTCTCTGCGTCCTGCGGCTTCCAGCCTTCCCGAGCCAGGAGATCAGTGCTGCCCTAAGAGCACTCACCGTCAGAAAGCAAGGGCCAGAAAACGGGAAATGGGATGAATACCGAAAGGAAGGATAATTATAGAAGTATTAAAAATACCTTTTGTGAAAGGAGAAGCTCTGCAGGCGGGCTGCCGTGGGTCCCTAGCACAGCACGCACCGTGCTGCCGTTTATGCTCGTCCCCTCTGCGTGCTGCCCAAACACGGGCACACAGCACCCTTCTGCTTAATCAAAGCGCTCATTTGGTATTAACCTGAATATCCTCTCTGTTCCTATCCCCGTATCTTCCGCCGCGGGCAGGTGGTTTCTGTCTGTCCTTTTGAGAGCTGCTGTGTCCCTGCCGGGGAGCAGAACCTCTGAATCGCGTTCATCAGAGGCCAAGGCCTCCGTGAGCTTCCCAACCTTTATTTTTAGCAGTGTCCCAAACTCATCCAGTTCTGTTTCTTCCCCCTGGGGCGACGAGTCAGGGAAGAGCCATCAACAAGGGACAAAGGAACGCATACCTTGCGTACCTGCAATCCTGAATCTGGATGGATTCCTTCCTCTGAGGGTGAAAACAACCCCTCAGCCAGGCTCAAGCAACACACCAACGTCACCTTTGGTACCCTACGAAATGGTAAAGCATCTTTTAAATCCCTTGGATGGGATCTTCAGGAACCAACCATTCGAAACACATCCCTTTTTGTAGGCAGCTAACTCGATGCTCCTCTTACTGTGAACTACCTCAGTCCATCTCCTTAGGCCTGGCCGAGATGCTGGGTCCCAGTGTGCTGCGTAAAACTTTGTGCTGTGCTGGTAGTTCCACAGGCAAGATCTGACGACTGGAATAGTTAAGGCAACAAAAAGAATCATGAAAAAGGAGAAACGTATTATGGGCTGAATATCTGACCAAAACACCCTATAAACCAGTAAAAAACGATTAGGTCTTGTAGCTAAGGGAATGGAAAACCAGAATAGACTGAAAGAAAATGTTGCTATGAGGAAGAACACGTGTGATCTGTGGGCAAGCACCACAGCTCTGTACCAGGCCACAAAGGTTCCCTGACGAATGGGATGGTGAACGCGAGGCCGGACACTTTTTGTTGAAAAGCAATTATTTGCTGTTTACTACAGGGTAAAGCCGTGCATCCGAGCAATTACCCCATAAACTGACGGTGCTAACGCCGAGGCAAGCGGCTCATCTGCTGGCATCCTTGCAGGCGTCGCACCACGCCGGAGCTATTTTTGTCAGATGAGATCCACTCCTCTGCCTCACCTCAGCGCTAATGCAGCATCTTTCAAGTGCACTTCACATTAAGCCTTTAAACCCCACGGCTTTTCGAATTGCCTATGGTTAAATTTTCATCACCGTTAAATAAAACACACCCGGGCCTTCAGGATTCCTGCCCTGTCGAGAGCGGCTGCAGCAGGGTGAGCGAAAAGCAGCCGTGCTCGCCTTGTGCACAGGGGTCTCGGCTGCAGAAGACTTGAAAAAAGGAGCCTCAGCTCCCAGATCGGAGGTGATTTGGGCTGAGGATGCTGCCTTCAGCCTCAGCTGCCCTGTGATGCTGTCATAGGCTGGGATTCGAAGGAAAATAGGAAACCTGGAGTCCCTTAGTGGTTCGGTTTCAAAAGGAAGAAATATAAGTGATCAATCCTCAAAGCTCCTACTCCACGGACCATCTTTAAGAAAAATGTCTCTTATTTGAAAGTAGGAAAAAAAAGATAATCGAGCCAGTGTGGAATTTTAAGTGTGAATAAAAGTCTGATCCAGAAACCGACACTTCAACCGTTAATACAAACATGCTCAGCCTGAATAAAGGTTATCAGGTGGAGTTCTGTGCCTTTTGCTGAAGCAACAGCACCATTATTAAAGCCCTATCCCACCCCCCATCAAAAGTCACGAGTCACTGTTCATTAAAAATACTCATTAACTCAGCTTTCCCTTGGCCAGGGGCTAGAGCACTCGTGCATATCCAGCGCGGAGAGAAACGCACCAATTAATCTTACACACATCTGCAGCAGGGGTGAGCGAGGTCTGTGTGAGCAGTTTCCTCCTCCATATAAATCAGAACAAACTGGAACAGCTGAGCACTACCACCGCCAGCCAGTGCCTGCCAGCTACTTTTGTCCTAAATTCTTTTAACTGCAGTGCCCCGAACACTTCACCAAGCAGCAGGCAGCGATGCTTTCGGCGCGGGGATGCGTCGTTCTCCGGAACAGCTCCGGGTACCATCAGGTTAAAACACTGCCTCGTAAGCTGTGTAATTAGCAAACACCTGAATTATGCACGGCTACGCTGGCATGAACCGAAGTGCTTTGCTTTCAGAGCTGAGCTTTCCAATCCTCCACAGACGCTTCTCGCCTCTCCACGGCAGCCTGCCTTTTGGGTAAGCTGGTTTTAGTCAGCAAAACTCAGACTGGAAATGGGAAGGGAGAAGGGGGAAGCCTAGCTTCGCACCACCTACTGAAGTCCTTTTGTGAGTAAGGATTTCTGCTGTAGCCACAAGTGTGGTTACAGGCACCAAGCCTGTGGAATCGGCATAAATGCTCCTCGAGAGGTGCTGGGGAGCACACGTGTAGGTGAACAGTGTCACGCGCCACCGGCAGGACTGGTATTTTGGGAATGTCACCCTCAACTGCAAAATTAGCTTACCTATTTTCAGCAGCACCTTACCACCTTAACGATTTAGCTCTAACCAGAGTGTTAATTACTTGGTTTTAAAGAGTAACGAGTCCACGAGCAGACCGAGGGCACCAAGATCTCCCGGTGCACGTTTCACGCACAGCTCACATCCCTGTGAGCCACGGACACGGCTCTGACGTAGAAACCTTCTGAAATTTCAGCTGAACAATCAGGGTACAACAATAAAGAGCAGAGAGAGCGTCAGATTTTAAAAACCTCTAGCCAGTAACCCTGTAATCCCAAGTGTAAATCCTGAAAATACCACTTCAGTTATCGACAGGAACACCGGAGTTATCGCAGTTCTCTGCAGACAGATTTTGAGAGGCACCAAAGAGACATCAGAAAGAAGACGGAAACTTTGAACTTTAGTAATTTGGGCTGGATCACTAATATTTGCAGTACGTGCCCCAGGTGTGTACAACAAGAGAGCTGACCTCAAAGGGTTTGCATTAGCCCGGTCTAGCTTTTACGGGTGTCTACGAGTCATTAAACGAATCGAAATGAAAGAGAGTCGGGAAAAAGTTGTGTTAAGGAGCAAGTCAACCAACCGGCACGCTTTTAGCTCAACGTGTTTCCAGCAGAGGCATGAATCTCCCAGAAACCTTGCCTGCATTTTGGCTCGTGGTGGTTCAAATTCCCCTTTGGAAAGCCTTGCTGCACGCACGTGAACCTCCACAGCGCTTTCTCGTAGCCATTGCTGAGGGATGATGCCTTGAAGGCACAACGAAACGAGGCCTCTGACATTAAACGGTTTTTCCACTGTACCCTACATGTTTATTTCACAGCTGTACCAGAGCCAGATTTAACAGTTAACCACATCCTGCAGACAAAACGTCACTCACATTTCTGAAGTCCAGTGTTCATCTGCGTGTAAGAAAGAAGCTGAAAGGAGAGGTCACCTGGTCCTGGCAGACAGGCCAGCATGGCAGACAGGCACTAACACAACATGGGGCATTCACTCCTCTGCACACTGCAACAACAGAGAGACAATTCAAAGTTATAATACACGGAGGAACACGGAAAAGAAAGAGGCAGAGAGCCGTCCCTGGGCGAAGGCCTGACCAAGCACAGACGCGGGACCACTGGCCCGTACCGAACCTCGTGGCAGCAGTGGAAACGCTTCGAGAAGTGGCTCAGCTACCTGCTTACACCAAAATACCTGTCTTGCTCTCACGGGCTCAGAGTTTCTGGCCCCAAGCCCTCACACCAAAAGCACCGAAGCTGTTTGTATGCAAGCTCTGCACCGCTACGCTCGAACCCCACCATCGGTGTGCCAGTACAAGGTGGGTCCAGCAACAAAACCAGCTCAGGATTCCAGTCTCCCAACATCACCAAGGCTGGGGAGAGAGTTTTTGGTTGGAACAAGGTCTTTAGAGGGCACCTGGCCCAAGCCCTTGCTGCAATCCCCCCTCCTACACAGGACACAGCACTGAGAGCCAGCCACGAGCGCTTCACAAAGCTCAGGAAAATGATGCAGCTGAGCCAAGCTGGAGAAATCCGTCCCATTTTCCTCCTCGCCCAGATCTCCACAAGCATCAGCGCTGCTCTGCAAGCACTAGACCACACGCACTACCAGAAATGGAAGATGTGCAGCTGTAAAACCTTGCAAAACCAACTCCACGCCTGGATTTTCTGCTCGCCCTCTGCAGCAGGTGGAGTGCTCAGAGTCCTTCCCGAGGTGCTGAGACGCAAACACCCATCGCATCCACGACTCAGAGGAACTTTAGCAACTGAGACGTTGCTTGCCGTCCACAGATGAGATTTCTTCATGACTCTAAGTATGCAATATTCAGGGAAAACTTCACAGACATCCTGTGGGCAGCAATTTCTTGCCTCAAATTACACCCAGCAAGACCAAAAGGAAAAATAAGGCTCCAGCTCCTTTTAATCAGGAGACAAAACCACCGTACGCTGCCTGAGCTTTACCTGCGTGAGCAACAGAAATGCTCGGAGTCAGCAAGAGAAAAAATTGTATTTTTCTCATTTCATCATCCTTTTAAGACTAAAAAACAAGAGCTATTTCTCAGTGGAAAGCAGGCAACAAAATTAAGAACCTTCACCGCAGTCGGAAAGCCACCAGATCACATCCAGCCAACTTTTGCTCTCGTAAGGTGTGGTGCCAGTCCAGGATCACTTCTTAACTGCATGGCCAAGAGAGTTTGGTGTCTGAACCATCACTGATAGCGAGTGCAGCCCTGAAAGAGAGCAAAGCCTGCTGCAGAGCAGCACAGCACCCAGGCAGCAATTCCCTCCAGGAGGCAGGGGCAGGGGCTGCTCACCATCAGCAGCAGCATCCATGACAGCCCCAGCACCCAGACATGGATTTCAATATTTTAGAGCATGCTGTAAAGGCAAGTTGCTCCTGCAGAGAGATAATCACTTCGGGCAATGCCAAAGGTTCACACAAGACTGGGGTGGCAATAATAATTTTAAACGAAATATCTGACTTTAAAAAAAATCATTTTAAGTGGAAGCATAAAATCGTTCTCTTAGCCTGATTTGCAATAAGCAAATTGATGCCATCTAGGTCACTGCTGAGCATTAAAAAAAGGAATTCAGACTTAGGCAGAAGTGCTGACCAGGACTCCATTACTGAATTCCATATTATAATTAAAATCCTGCTCCATTTTTTGTTCTCCATGAAATTAACATTTCTACCAAACGGGTATCTCGGCACTTGACAACAAACGCATTTGAGACATCTTTACAAATGCATTAATTATTTTTTTTTTGGTTAGAAATTAATTGACATTTATTCCTTATGGGATTTCTCCTGCTGACCCTCACCAGGAGCTGGTGCAGACAGGTCGAGCAGACCACGGGGCTGCCACGAACTGGGAGCTGCTGCGTGTTTGGGTTAAGGATGAACATCCCTGGCTGCCTCGCACCCTCATTACACCTCAGGGTCCTGACACGGGGGCTGCAGGGCCCATCGCCCCCTCTTGTGCTCGGCTTTATTGCCTCTAATTAGTCCAGAGCAGGAGAGAAACTGAACTTGGCACGGCAACAAATCCCACCAGCAGCCTTGGCTCCGCGGCTGCAACTTGTGTGGGCACCAGCACCTGCGAAGCTCCCCACGCTGCCTCGGTCCTGGGAGCACACCAACTGTGTTACTGGGGGAACTGGGAAGGGTCAAAGCACTTTGTACTGTGCCGGGCTCAGCGACACTGTCCTCTAAACTGGTCAAACTGGGCAGCAGGCTGCCCGCTAGGCTCTGGCAGCTGTAAAGCCCTTACCTTCCAAGTTTTTCAATCGCATTGTAAAGCGCTTCTGTGCATCACCAAGCACAGCTGAACGAGCTCTGTCTTGAGAACGTATGTAAAAAGATAACGTACGGCGCTAGAGAAAAACAATCATTAGATTAAATAAACAAATACCTCTCTTTGAAGTGATTTTAATCTCATCTGGCTGCAGGATAAAATCCTACCCGCACGCGGACTGCAGCACGCTCTAGGAAATAGTTAGCAGGTTTAGACACATGAATAGATTTTTTTCCTCCTAAGATGCATTAATAATTAAAATGTTTTAAGCTTAACAAGGATTTACAGTGCTTGGGGTTTCGGAGTAACTATAACGTTGCCACAAGGACTGTTCCAGCCAGCCTTACCTTGGGTTTTTGGTCTAGGCAGCGCATCCTGCGGAGGGCAAGCCAGGGTTCAGGGCACGACGGGGAAACTCACCTCTACCCACCGCCAGGGACACCGCCCTGGATAATTTCAGCAAAACTTACCAAATATCGCCTTTCTGGACTGAATGCATTGCGAAAAAATACACGCATGATTTTTTGGCTGATATTCCAAGCGTACCACTGCCTCTGCCAGGCGGAACTTTGACACGGCGGAGTAAAAGCGAGGTGTAAAGCGACTCGGCACGGGTAGGAAACTTCTCATACTCCAACACAGCTTTATCATCACATAAACAGACCCCACACACCGAGTCATTGCCAGGATTTTAAATACGAGTGCCTGAAGCTCTCGAGAGGCCTTCCAGGGGAAGCACACAAAGGAAACGCTCCCCGTAAACCACCCCCGGGCAGTGAAATATGGGAAGCCGAGCTGCTTTAGACGAAAGCAAGCTGCTGAAGTCTAAAGTTAGGTTCCTGAAAGTAAACACGCATGTTTGAAATTCCAAACTGCGGGCTCGGGGCGGGAGGATCTACCCGCACAAAAAGAAAAGCTCGGAACTATTCCAAGTTTCCAGCACCCCGGGGTCCCGTCAGCTGGGAGTTAAAAGCACTCGGGGCTGACCGACACGCTTCGTTTCCCCTCCTCATTCACAAGGTGGCCACGTGAGGTTCCCTAACCGGAGGCAGGATTTATGGAGAACCCCGACCACGGGCTGCACGGTCCAAGTTCACCATATATATATGTGTGTATATATATGTAAATGATGCAAACGAGACCAAAAACGAAGGTGGGTTGTGAAGTTTTTTGGGTCCAAACGTTTGCAGGAGCTTTCCAGGGAATATAATTAAATTTGGGCGCATCCTCCTGCTCCAAGGGAACCTCGGTGTCTCATTTACCCCCAGCAGGCTGCTCGGGACCGAACGAGACTCAGTCCTTTTCCTTCTCCTGAAGTAACCTAAACATAAAGGGGGGAAAAAATTTGTTCCCATCAGCTGCACACGCCGAATCCCCTGCCAACCTCGGTGCTCAGGATGTTTTTTTTCCAGCCTGCTGGGTTTTATTCAGCACCCTGGTGGTCCTGCAGCTCCCTGCCTCTCTCCAGCCCTGCACAGCCCTCTCTGCCCGGCCACTCACTGCACCCTCTGCTTGCTCGGGGCTGCTGAAAAGCCAGAGGGAGATCTTACCTTTTCCTGGAGAGAAATTACCAAAGGAGCACCGTGCTGGTAGCTCATCCCCCTTAATGATTTTTTTTCTAAAGGGAAAAGTGCAAAATAAGGTGCGGAGAGGCGGTCTTTTGAAACGGCGATAAATCACGATAGCACCCGGAGTGTTTGGGGGTAAATAAAGAGGAGCACTGAACAATAGCAAGGCGCCTTTCCTAACCGTCTGCCTGGACGGGACCTCTTGGCTTCCTGCACCCGGGCGGACCTTTTGCAGAGCCCTGCAACAGTTTCCATCCAAATCAATCCCTGCTCCTCGCGGTTTAATTACCTATGATTTCGCTTGTAAACCGCTTCACCTTTCAGGCTGACCTCCATTTACGACGTTACTCAGGCAACAAAATTAAATAGTTTGGAGTGGAGAGCGGGGAGAACTGAAATGTACGGGGCGTGCTTCGGGGAAAGGGCAGGCACCTGCTGCAGCACAGCTCCCTCCCCGAGCCAGGATGGCAACGCTAGGTGAGTGGAGGAAAAAGCAGAAGCTTTTGGGTAAGAGCACTTAAATGGGATGCTGCTCGTATCACGCTCCTCGTGCCACGCGTGACATCAGCTCCATCAAATCCCCTCCTCGGCTGAAGCGGCAGCGAGCTCAAGGTTATGCTCTCGGAGTTTAAAAAGCTGTTTTTAGGTCGGTCCCAAGAGATTCTTTTAAAACACGGCACAAGGCAGCTGCTGGAGAGGAGAAGAGTCGGCTTTAATTGTACGATGGGTTTTTACATAGCTTCTGACCTTTCGTCTAATTGAGGCCTGAAGAAGGGAAAAAAAAAAAGAGGAAAAGCTCCCCGTCACTTCGGTTATTAAAATCCATCAGGCTCAGACTTTAGCCCTGGGATAACCGCAGCCAAAAAATTGACTCGCAAGTAATTATCACTGCTATCTGCAATAAAAGTTAATTGGACATAATTGAACTAAAGCCCTAATCTGAATGAAGCTGTTGCTGGCAAGAAGCCTGCTCCTGCCTGCACTTTGCAAATGAAACTGCTAAGCAGGGAAATGGACAAACGCGGGGCTGCTCCCACAGCCTGCAAACAGCTCGTTAGCTGCGCCAGGAGAAAGCCATTAGCGGGGCCCGTCCTCACCAGAAGAACCTTCTGACGATACCCAAGTGGGACAGAGGGAGAGAGTTTCCAAAGCCAAGTTTCAGTTTTACAGACCTCGTCGTGCTATTGAGCAAACCCTCGTATTTGTCAAAAAATGCTCAGTTTGGTGAATCTCCCGTCGCTGTAAATATCGGTACAAATTATGCACTTTTGGAGATGCTAACTCCAAAGGTTTCCAGTGTTGATAATTCACCACCTTCATGAAGTCCAAGAGCCTTTCCTGAGCTAGGACGAGCTGCTCTCATCTCCTCTGGGCAGCAGTGAGCTGCACAGTGCAGGTGGCTGGTGGCAGGGGGTGTGGAACCAAATTCTCGCCGATTTGCCCGTCCTGGTTTGCATTTTTGTGAACTATCAGACCAGAAAAGGGCAGCCGTCTCCCGTGCTGCTTTAGAACTTCCTCCCAGTTTTAATTATTAACACCCTGCCCTTCACCAAAGCGTATCGAAGCGCTTTACAAACATCACCGAGCCCGCACAACCGCTCCGAGACGGGCAAAAATTGCACAGGGCTCATTTTACAGAGGCTTGAGGGGTTTTTGGACCAGCTTTATGTTACAGGACGGGTCTCATGATTATGGAGCTCGCCTATGACAGGAGAGGTTGAGGGCTGTAGCTGGCTCACCACGGATCCCTGATGTAGTTTTGGATGAAGCATTTCATCACCCCATGCCACGGTCGCTCCTTTTGAAAAGGATGGGAGCGGGCGACAGTTTGCTACCACGGGAGAACATCCAGGGAGACAAATTAAACTGCAGAGCATCCAATACCCCCTCGGCGGATCACTTACAAGGTCAAAATCTGGGAAGGAAGGAACTGGAATCGGACCACACTTCGTACGCCTCAACTCCATTTACTCACCGCTGCTCCTCTTCATTTTCATGTGTCAGGACAGAGGAGAATTTTAGCTCAAGAAAGCTGCAACAGAGAACTAGTGATATAAATTCCCTTTCATGACCTAAATCAGTGGCTTATTTTACTTTACTCAAAGCCTATCACCTCTTTTTAAGCCTATTTTTAGATTTAACTCCACATTTTGCAATGTGGCAGGAGCTGATAGACAACACAGCCCTAAGTAGGTCTCGCCAGGTGTTGCAGGTCTCTTCTCAGGCTAAGGGAAGATGTAAAAAAAGACAAGTCAGAACGTTTGCAGGGCCTGGCCACAGCTTCAAAGGAGGATTTCTGGCTGTGCATTGAAACACAGATGCCAGTGGTCAGCTCTGAGACAGACGAGATACTGCCCTCACCATGGGAACTCGAGCAAGAAATAGGAAAATCAGCCCAGATTCAAAGGGAATTTGAATAACTTTGGATCTGCCTCCTCTGAATTTTCGCTAGACTAAAGCACTCTGACCTTTAATTAATTTTCCTTCTCCTTTTAAATGGTAACTTCCAGCTCCGAGGCTTTTAACGCGGTGTTGGCGGGGGTGCAGGAGCAGGCTGGGCTGTACCCCAGTGCACAAACCTGCACGGTCATTTCGGAGAGAGCACAGGGTGCTACAACAGCTGAACTGCCACACTGAACATCAGGGGCTGGGTAAATGCAGCCCTGCCATCCATGTCAGGGCTTGCCCAGGATATTAGGCTTCGATTCTTGTTCTCAGAAGACAAAAAGCTCCCTGCCAGTCGCTGTAAAGGCTTCAATTCTTATTTTCAGAAGACCAAAAGCTTAACTTTCACTGAAAATACCACGTTTTTCAACGAGGTACTAAGAGGGAAGCAACATTCCTTCCTCAAAAGCATCCGTTACCTTCAGGGCAAACTAAAGCCACGTTCCTCCGATTGCTTGAGCACCATCCCTGCTGTAACGGGGAGCACAGACCCAGGAATCCTACACGCCGGTATTTCGGGGTATTTTTAGGTTAGCCCCGATGACGTGCCCACAAAGCAAGCCCCAAACAGCCTCCAGGATGCTGCTCGCACACAGCCCAGCGGAGGCAGGTTTCACCACCAGCCCTTCTCCCTTCTCGTGCACGACTTCCTTCTGCCTTCAAGCGATAAGAAACCCAGCTGCAGGCTGACCCCCTTCCCAGGGCAGAGGGCACGCTGTTAACAACCACCAGCAGCACGCCGTTGTGTGCCCTGTGCCTGTTCCCTGCCCCTTCCCACGCGTTCAGGTGGCCGGGAGCAGCAGGAGGTGTAATTTTGGGGGTTATTTTACCACGAAGGACATCCAGAGCGCCTCCCTCGCGATTTCTCCTGCACCAGCGCTGGACCACAGGCCTGGCTGAAAAGGAAGCTTTGCTTAAGCACAGCCACAGAAGGGGAAAGGAAATGTGAAATACTTCCCTCTCCAGTGGCTGCCTTGCACGGATCACCGTTATCTTTAGCTTCTCTCATTCCAAATAACCCTGTAACAGCCCAGAATTAAAGCCTTAATGGGGACTTGCACAAATGCTTACGGCTGCACAGGACAGAACAGTTTGTCCTTTAAAAATACCATCAGAAGTTAGAGATTCTGACAGTTCCCCGAGCAGGACGGTAGCTCTCCTCCTCTGTTTCGTACAAGCTGATTATTTAATATTTTTTCAGAGCTAATTTGAACAATTTTCACCTATAGGCAACACACAAAGAGCAAGCCAGATGCGTTAGATATCGAAAACTCCGTTTCGAGTCCCGTTTTAAAAATAGACTCGCTTGAAAAACGAGAAAATATTTGCAAATAAGATGAGGCAGAATGAGCTGCACTTCGTGCAAAACCCAAAACGGAACTGGTGCTAAGAACAAAAGCAGTGACTCACCCGCTGAGCAGGTGCCGGGGTGCGGGGTGGACACGGTGGCCGGTGGCACGCGGGCTCTGGGTTCTGCTGGCCATGCACGTGTGCTTTTCTGCCCCGTGCACGCACGCTGCGAGCTGCTGGGCTCAGGGCTGAGCCGTTTGGCCACCGAGCTCGGGTCCCACCTATGGGGCAATGGCAGCAGCCCGCTGACAAAGCAGAGGCGTGCACAGACCATTTTGGAGATAGAGGAGTGGAGATGGGCATCTAACCCGGCACCGTGCTGGGGCTTCCTGCCGGACCCCGGCCGAATCAGCTCGGAGATAGATCCACGACCGTTTGCAAGCTCCAGATAAGACCTTCTCTAGCTGGAGATGTCGTGCAGCCCTGCTGTCGAGATGACAAGCGTTCCAGGAACTCGAACAGAAGCCGCCACACCAGCACACGACACTCACCAGCGGCCAACACACGCCACCAGAGGCACACGGAGGGGATGGACAGATGCTGCTGTGTTTTCCTACCGACTTCCAGACTCACACTGACACAGACCTGCCGTCCTCACCAACCTGCCACGGAACTCGAAGGCCGTCTCCTAACTCTACAGAAAAAAGGAGAAGAAATGCACTCTTTGGGAGGTACCATCCAGAGCCCGTGCTCTGCCCGGTGCCTTTCCAAGAAGGATGAAAAGTGGCCAGCGGCACCGCTGACAGTTCAAAACAGCCCCGGGGAAAGCAACACGAGCACGCAAAGGTATTTTCAAAGGCACAAGAACCAGAGATTTTTGTATGCTGGCCCCACAGAACAGCTCTGAGTGATCTCACCTACTTCTCTGAGCAGCCACGAACACATCACCGTCAAGAAGAGCTTACACTCGAAGGGATTCCTTTTCCCACAGCACGTTCTACTGACTCCAGGTGAGCAGGAGCCTTTGGTTTGCTTGCGTGTCCTTCCCCCTTCGCACTTACCTTTTTATATGTGAAAAAAGAAAGAGATGGTGATAAATAAAGCGCGTGGACAGGCCACAGCTGCAGCTGTAACATCCCTTGGATGCAAGCACAACCTGGCTGCAGGGGGGAGAGCCTGGCCGAGCGCCTACCCCAGCAAGTCACCGAGGCAATCCCCCAACGGTTGCTTCATTTCCAGGCAATTTCTCTTCCCTACCATGGAGTAACCAAGCTAGCTGCGGTCAATGAATTCCAAAAGGTAAATTTTTCTACCTTCAATTAACTGCATTAGTACTGTTTATAACCGTGCGATTGATAAACGCTCTGCAGAAGCTGTAATTAATGTATTTTTTTGTCTTGGAACACATAGCGAACCCCTTGGCACTCAGACACTTAATGAAAAGCAATTTATCAACCTGCTTTGAATAGCTCAATCCGACTCCTTAATGCAAAGAGCAGCACGCTTTGCTCAGGGCGCTCCAGCTCTGCGAAAGCAACGCGTGCTGCAGAATCACAAATGCCACCAGACACGGTTTGGATTTCGATAGGGATGACACCAACCAGGATGCTCATCGTGCTGAGGAACGGGTATTTCAGTAGGGTCTGGGGCTTAGCTGGGATCCTGGCCCTGGGTGGAGACGTGGTTTTCCAGGAATGAGGTTTAGAGGGTGCTTTTAGGATGCTGGATGAAGCTCTGGATTCTCCTCCTGTGTCTCACGGCCACGCAGCGCTGACCCACACGGGGACACAGACAAAAATAAAGTGCTTACGGAGCATCTGAATGCTAATTCCTCAAATTCGGTGTTGCTTCGTATGTTTGACACATGCAAAAAATAAAACAACTCCACCACCAACAAAAAAAAACAGCGTTTAGAGGGAAAGGCTTGACATCCCAGAGTTTTATGTCGGTATTAGCTGCTGGGGGGATTAGCCAGCCTTCAAAGCCTAAACTCTACACTCGCATTTCTGGAAGCACAGGCTCCAAATATTCAATACAGAAATGGGTCTGTCCTCCATATGGCAGCCTGCACGGAAGGATTACATATTTCCATCGCACACGTGAGCCTGCTCCCCGTTCCTGCAGTGTCTTGCCCTCTTCCATTTGTCTTTTGATTCAGATAAAAGCCAGCGCAGATCCTAACTGCTGATACGGAGAAAGGCACAAGACACAGTGTGACTTTGGATGAAGGAAGGAAAAAAAAAAAAGGACTCGGGTCCAGACTGCTAGAGCATGTCAAGAGATTGGCTTTGAAACTACAGAACCAGAAATGAAAGCGCGGCTTTTTTATTTGATTTGATCAAAGCAACTGGGGACTGGGAGGGGGGGGGAGAAAGAAATCACATCCTACAGATGCAGGCTAAATTTTAACTACTTCACACATAATGCGGGACCAGCTGATCCCACAGAGGCATAAATAAAGAGAGAAAACAAAGAGGTAAAGTCACTCCGGCTCTGAATGCGCTCTTTCCACAGATCGCTGCTTCAGGGTCTGCCAAAGAGCAACAGGAACCCATTTCAAAGCAAGAAAGGCACAGGAAGCATGTACCCAGCACTCTCGCCAGGGGCACACATTTTAAGTCTCCAGCGAAGAGCAGAGGAGCGAGCTCCTGACGACACAGAGAAAACGCTCACAATGCAACGGCTATTGGGGTAAATAACCTGCTCCTCCCTCCGGGACTCTGCTCCCCAGATCCGACTGCGAGGTAGCAGCGGCGTGAGACAATCCTCCAGAGGCAGGCTTTGTGCTGCCCGCTGAGGATTACCAGCAGGTAATTCTTTCTCCTCGCCCAGAGCATCCTCTCTGATCCACGCTGGGCACAGGAGGAGGAGGTTTTGCGGAGTACAAACCAGAGAGCACGGGTTCTTGCAGGCCCCAAAAGGCAGCAGGGGAGAACCAGACGGCCGCAGCTGCCCCCCTCCCTGAGAGGAAGGGTTATAAATACCTGCCGGGTGGGCTGCGTGCTTGTGGAAATGACTGGCTGCAGAAGGTGAGCCGTTTCCTCTGGGTTAGCACGGCCGAGCTCTTTGCCTTTCGCTAAAAATGAAGCAGGAGTCATTTTAACACGTGAGGCAGACAAGCAGTCGCGCCCAGGGGATCAAACAGCTCTCCAGATGTTTATTTTAAATGAAATTCAGAAGCCAGCATGAACCAGATTTTAAACGCTGAATAATCCGCACCGTAATTTGCATGAGAAACCTAGGAAAAAAGGGAAAAAGGTTGCGTCCTACCGCTCCGAAACCCTCCAGGAACATGCAGGGGTCAGAAAGGACGTCCCGACGAGGAGGGCAGGAATCAGGGAGCGCAGAACTGAGCAGCAGATCTGTTCCCAGGCTCTTCAGCTGACACCTCCAAGCACGAACAGCCCCGCGCTGAAACCTGACGGCTGCTGA